GCCAGCACGGCAGCCCTGCAGGCTTGCCTGCGGGGCTCTAGTTAGGCACAGGGAAGAGATGACTGACACTAGCGAGGGGGCTTGCCATCCCAGCACAAACCAGTAACTCAGAGTCCATCGGCTCTCCTGGTTTGCAGCCCGTGGCAGGGGAAAGCTGTACCCAGAGCCCACAGGAGCCTCTGCAGTTCTATGGTGGAAAACTGATGCAGACCCCAGCCCAGTCTGCGGGGGCTCCCCGGATGGACCACTCACACCCCTCACTTCCTCTCTCTTTATCCCTTCTCCCACTAACAAACCAAAGCTTTTAAATCCCTCCCTGTGGTCTCATTAGTCAGGCTGCAGCTGTGCTCTGGGCTGCAGGGTGGCTGCCATGCTGCCTGCCTTCTGGGGGAGATCCGGACCTGCCTTCTGGGGGAGACCCGGTCCTGCCTTTTGGGGGAGATGCGGTCCTGCCTTCTGGGGGAGATGTGGTCCTGCCTTTTGGGGGAGATGCGGTCCTGCCGCAGGCAGGCCCAGGCTGGGCTGGCACCCTGGGGAGGTGTGCAGACGCTGCCGTCCTCGCTGCCCAAGTCTGCAGGGCAGCAAGCTGCTCCCTCCTTCAGAGAAAATGGACATGGTATGCTTTGGTATAAAACCGCATTTACCTTAAAAATACACCGGCAGTGAGCGTCCAGTAGAGGAAAGGAGCTGCTCCTGTGTGCAGCTGCTGATGTTGGTATCTACAAGAGCAGAACCTGATTCTTAAGGGGAAGGATTTTTCCTTTTTTTAAGTATTTGCAATTTCCCCTCTTGCTGCTTCCCACTGACCAAATCTAACTTTTAAAACCCCACCAGGGAGGTCGAGTCAGAGGGAGCCTCAGCTCCCATGGAGGGTGGTTTCTCCCAGGCTGCCCGGGGCAGTGCTGGTCACGGCGCCCACGAGCCCATCACCGTGATGCCCTGCAGCCCACCTGGGCCATGGCAGTGCCCCATTTCAGCAGCTTTCCTCCATCCCGTGTCTAGGAGGAAGAAGAAATTCACACCACAGAAAAAAAAACCAACCCAACCCTCCCAGGCAGACGGGTCAGTGAAAGCAAAGGGAATGAGGATGGGAGGGAACAGCCTCCAAGCAGCCCCCTCCTCTCTGGCAGAGAGGGGCCTGGAACAGCGATGTCTCACGCAGGGAGGTCTCGACACATTGCTTCCTCTCCTCCCCCTGCCCTGCTCCACCAAGTCTTCTGGTTTTAATGTCAAATTTTCCTGAGGTTTTCCCGAAGGGAGCATGCAGAAAACAGACAGAAGGGTCTAGGCGAGGGTGAGCGACCTTCTCTTTTGGGAGGTGCACAGCCAAAGGAGCTGAGTCCCCTTCCTGTGCAGGCTCATTTGGCAGCTGCCCCTGCCTGTGGTCTGGGTGGGGGTGCCAGGAGGGAGAAGGCTGGGGCACAGGAGCTGCTCTCCACAGCTTCATGAGCAGCCGCCTCAAGTGTCCGGCAAGCATCACCGCACAGGTGCTGCCCGACACGGCTCAGCACCCAGCCCCTCGGCCCCAAGCACTGGCCAGAGGGCCAGGACACCGGGAGCCACTGGAGCCAGGACACTAGCCCTCCGGAGGAGCGGTGCAAGAGAGTTAAACCCATGTATCTTCCTCTTGTAGGTTTTATTCAAACTTCTTTTGGGCAGTGCTAAATTTGGAGAAGCTGCCTTATTCCTGTCTGTGTTAGCTGTCTTCAACGTCCTCTTTGTTACCTGTATTCCTGTCATCCTTTATTTTACCAAAGTGGAGTACTGGAGCTCTTTCGACATTGTTCCTTGGGGAAACCTCTGCGGATTTTCGATTCTCTTATTGAGTGAGTAGACGAGGGGGTCTGGCACTGCCTGGGGTGGAGGAGGGTGCCAGAAACTGGCTGCTGGGGGGAGCTGTAGACTTCTGACATACTGGAGCTGTTTCCCCTTCTTCTCAACCTAACTATTAGCTTGAGAACTCAAGCAGAGGACCCATTCCTAGGTGGGAATGTAGACCCCACTCCTGCTGTTATTACTAAGCCAAAATATCTTGGCTGTCCTCAGCAGGTGCTGTGGGACTAAACCGTAAAGCTTGTCCTAACTCCTGCTCGTGAACTCTGCCTCACAGCAACAGGCGACACTTGCCCGTGCTGTGACAGGAAGCAGCCATGCCGGCAGGGCATTGCCTTGGGCTCATCAGCATCCCCCGAGCAAGCGGGTTAGTCAAGGCCAGCCTCTGGTGCCTCTGCTGACTTCACAATAGCTAATTGCTGTTCCTCCAGAGCAGGAAACTTCTGAAAATGTAGCCTTGCGTAGCGCTGATGGGAATTTGGTAGGTAGCACTCCTCTCTTCAGCTGCCGCTGCTGTGCCGCCAAGGGAACCCAGCTTGGGAGGGATGCCAAATCGAAGCTTTAATGATTCATGGTCATCAGAAATGTGATGCTGTTCCTTGTTAAACTAGATGTGTTCACTGTGCTGCCACAGTTGGTCCCTAATCTGGATGACGGCATCACATCTCCTAAAACATTCCTTTCATTTCCACTGGAAATAGCCCTTCTCCATCCCTCGCTTGACTCCTTTTACCCTGAACAGTCGCGACGCTTGACTCAACAAGTACCTCCAGTTTACTTCTCAGTGGACTCAATGGAAGGTTTCTGTAAGCAAGTAGTGCGGAACTTGGCAAGCAATGGCTGGGGCGTGCAGTGAACAGGTACTACTGGACAACAGTCAGAGCTCCGGCTGCTGACAAGTTCAGCATTGGCAAGGCTCTCCTGACTTTGCTGAAGCTAATCACCATAAAACAAGGGTGAATTTGGTCCAAAGCCATTATTAATTTGTCATGAGACACTCCATGAACAGTGGATGGTATTACAATGGAGTGATATTATAATCATTCAGTTGTAATGATATTATAAATTCATTGTATGAAATTGTATTTAGCAAGTTCCTGTCTGGAAGAGGGTTAGATTTACAGCATCTTCCACCTGCAGCTGGAGGCAGCTTTCTACAAAAACAGTATCCACCCAGAAGCAACTGTTTGGCTGAACTCTCCCAGATGAAAAGTTTTTAGTCTTTCAGCAGGGCAAAGTGGATTGGTATAGAGCGTGGGCATCACTGCACATTGCACTGAGAGACAGGTTGTACCCACCTGATCCTGCCACTGGTCTCCCTTGGGATATAGAGTTCCCCAGAAACAGCAATGTCTCTGGCAGACGTATGTGCAGCAGACAGACGTCTGTCCACAGGTCTCTTCCAGGAATAACGACAGTTAATATGCCTTCTATTTGAACAACATACAGAGGGCATAATAAAGCAAAAATGTTTCAAGTGACATTCACTCTGCCTAGTTGCACTGTAGTAAAAGGTGTTTTTCTTTCCTTCTTCAGCATTCAATATTCTACTAAATTTTGGGATTGCTATTACATACCCCACCTTGATTTCTCTTGGAATTGTACTGAGTGTCCCAGTGAATGCGGGTAAGAATTTCTGCCTTTTGCATCTTAATGAATACATTAAGTCTGTGGCCTTTCAAATACACAATAGGAATAAAAGCAAATAGCTTTGTTAAACATGTTTTGCATCTTCTCTCAAAGACTTATGGAGACAACATTGATTAAAAATGTGTACCTTATCTGTTAAATATGTATTGTATAATCTTACATGACTATTCATAATCTCTAGACTTGCTTTTTAAGTTACTGGCTGAAAAAGCCTGCATACTGAAAAACAAAGTAGGTTTGAAGTCATCCATCTCTGGGCCAGGATGAAAATCCATGGATGAAGTAGAAATCAATTCTTAATTATTTCTTCAAGGCAGGCTTAACACTAAATTGAAACAAATAAAATTGCTTACATTTTAGAGCAAATATGCACTAGTAATTCTGCTTGCCTTGGTAAATAACATTGCAGGTGTTTATCGAGAGCACTGGATGATTCAATTTTGGGCATGGCCTGATACATTTCTCTGACAGTTTTCTGAAATTTAGCAAAAGCCAAGAGACTGCAGAGCATGAGAGGGTTGGGCAGGGGAGTGCAGAGGCAACCCCAGCCCAAACCAGAGCCACCTCTCCCAAACCAGGCTCCTAAAACCCAGCGTGCTGAACTGGTGCCACGGCACAGGTGACAGCTCCCAACTTTGTGCTGACTACACGCACACAGAGCCGGGCGCTGCTGGCTGCCCCAGCAGATTTCCATACCGAACGGTGTGATCCCACCAGAGCGTGTGCATGGCTCAGGGTGTGCAGGGTTGGTTATTCAGCGGGGCAGTCAGGCTGAGAAGAAAAACTTGCACAAAGGAGCTGCCATGCCAGGGAAAGGAAATGCCCCTTCCTCTGCGTACCCGGACCTCAACAGGAGCTCCTGTGCTGTCAGCAAGTGTCGTGGTTTAACCCCAGTTGGCAACTAAGCACCACACAGCCGCTCACTCACCCTCCCCCCGACTGCCCCGGTGGGACGGGGGAGAGAATTAGGAAAAACAAAAAAAGGTAAAACCCATGGGTTGAGATAAAGGCAGTTTAATAGGACAGCAGAGGAAGAGAAAGTAGTAATAATACTAATGATAAAAGAATATACAAAACAAGCGATGCACAATGCAATTGCTCACCACCCGCTGACCGATACCCAGCCAGTCCCCAAGCAGTGATCGCTGCCCCCCGGCCAACCCCCCCCAGTTTATATACTGAGCATGACATCATATGGTATGGAATAGCCCTTTGGGCAGTTTGGGTCAGCTGTCCTGGCTGTGCCCCCTCCCAGCTTCTTGTGCAGCTGGCAGAGCATGGGAAGCTGAAAAGTCCTTGACTAGTGTAAGCAGTACTTAGCAACAACTAAAGCGTCAGTGTGTTATCAGCATTATTCTCATCCTAAATCCAAAACACAGCACTATGCCAGCTACTAGGAAGTAAATTAACTCTATCCCAGCCGAAACCAGGACAGCGAGCAAGGGACAAGATACTGCTGCAGACAAGTGCAGCTCCAGGCAACATCCCCTTTTGCACCCTGAGCCCCCAGGCCAGCTCTGCCTGCTCTGAAGGGGGCCGTACCCTGCTGTGTGCTAAACCAGCAAGAAGGGCAGTCTCCCTGCCACCACCTCCTCCATGGTCACGTTCTCCTGCCCCAGCCAGCCTTCAGAGCCAGGGAGGTGAGGGGGAGGGAAAGGGATACCGCCCTAATGCTTCGTCCCACGTAATAACACCCGTTCAATGTCCCACACAGTTGTTGATCACTACACGAGTGAAATTGTCTTCAACAGTGTCCGAGTAATCGCCATCATCATTATTGGCCTGGGCTTCCTCCTGTTGCTCTTGCCAGAGGAATGGGACGTCTGGGTAATAAAGCTCCTCACGCGTCTCAAAGTCCGGAAGAAGGAAGAAATCCCCGAAGGGAATGGAGACATTGCTTCAGGACTGCCTAACAAAAGCCGGAGAACTCGCCCCTCCATGTCATCCTTTGCTCATTAAATGCTCTTTTTACCAAAACTTTGTGGTTAACCTTATATATGATGATGCAAAGGTCTTTGCTGGGGAAGAAGCACACCTGTACAACATGGTGTACATACCTGTACAGTTTTGATATGATCACCATCTAAGGCATCGAGTCTTGGCATGTCCAGTTTGCTTGTACCTTTTTCACATCAGACCTTTCACTTAAGTAGTACACCGAAAAAAACCTGCAAACCAAGAACCTCTCTTCTCTTTTTAAATGAATGTACTATATAGTCAAAATATATTTGCATAGGTTATTTTAAAGAATGATTTTCATGAAAAGCAGGGCAGACATCTTGAGCATTAGGTATCGAATGATGCATTGCACACTGTGATTTAAAAGAAACAAATGCTATGCTACATCACACATTTATTTTTGACCAGAGCTGTACTCTGAAAGTTTCCAAGGAACCAAAAGGGAATCTTTTCGGGGATGGGAAGATGAGGGGAAGAGTGGAAGGAAGGAGGTTTGGAAGTCAGTCTATGTAGATGAGCGCATGTTGCGCTGCAACCAGGAGAAAATTCAAGCGCTAAAAATGCTTGCACTAAAGCACTAGAGAGAAAGCAGTTTAGAGCCCAAATCTCCTTACTCTGCACATGACTGTAGTCCACGTTTAAAATGATGCAAGAGAAATCCAGTGCCTTCTACAGAACTCTTGTCTTTATCCACGCAGAACCAGGTCCCGCTGCAAGGCACTTGCAATGGCAGGGCTCAGGCTTGCAGCCCCAGGGGACCCCAAATTCCCACCGACATTAGGACGTGCCCCCCATACGCGCCATGGCTTCTGTGGGAACGTGGGGCCCGGGAGACTGCAAGTTTGCGCGCAGGAGACCTGGTTCTCTCCTCACTTCCACAGGTTTTACCCCTGTGTGGAGCTGCGCTTGATTAACACCAGTGTGAGGAAGGGGAAGTCTTGGTTACGTGCGGGACAATGCGACCGAAAATGATCAAAGGGGCTGGTAAGAGCGTGGTTGCTGATGTACAGTCTGAGAGCACGGACTAAGGGGGTGAATCGCCAGTTGCTTTTACTCCATAATTGTGAGTGTTAAGAGTTAAAAATGTAAGAAAGATATTTACATCAAATGTAACACTTTTTATGAAACTTGTAAGCACCAGGATGTTTACTTACGCGATTTTGGTTCGCCATTAAATTTCTATCTGTGATAGATCACATGCTATGTAAAAAAAGGGGGGGAAAGGTTATAGTTTACTATTTTTGAAGTTTACATTGTTGCATACAAAATTTAAAGTGTTCTTTTGAACTGCTGCCATAGCCTAAGGGTCCCTACTGCCACTGAGGCCCTCTTTGCCTCAGGCAGGGGTGGCATCCACTTCAAAACATTTTAGCAAATCAACTTCAGATTCCATTATCTGTTTGGCAAAGCTAAATAATAAAAGATTTTAAATTCAGCCTCTGTCAATGCTATCTGTTTCCTTCTCTTGACTGCACCTTTATTCCAGTTTTACTGTGGGTAGTATTTGGCCAAAGCAATCAGGAGAGACAAGATCATCAAAGCAACCAAGGCAGCAGCTGATGCATTGCTTGGCAGTCTCTCCTCGACAGGAGGAGCGTTAGACTTCTGGAGAAATCCGTCCAGAGGGCTGATGTTAGGCATCAGTCAGGAAATACACATCCCGCAGAAGCAGACGGAAGGAAAAGCTGACCTTCCTCTGAAACCATCAGACAGCAGCCATAAATGCATATGCTAATAGGTATTTAGGGGCTATGGATGGGACAGGAGTTTGTACATCAATAATTAGGCCCTAGTCCAGGCTGTATGTCGTTCCCTATGCATCTCTTCATGGCCAAATAGACACTAAAGACTTGCTAACAGAGATGACACACAAGCAAAAATCTGAGGCTGTGGAAAGCTGCTCACAACTACTGTCCCGCGCAGTGTTACACACCTGAATTTTTAAATCTATTTCTTTGGGAAGCAGCGGAGGGTAAGGCACAGGTCAGGAGCACAGGTAAAACCCTAATAACTGGTTTGAAGGGTGCACACATACAGAGACTCAAAGCTCCCAAGTTAGAGTTTACTCCATCTTTGGGCATATCATTTGTCATCCTCAAAGTACCCCACACCCCTCCCCAAGCCCCCTGTCTGAGCCAAGGCCAGAGAAGAAAGCACAAACAGTCCTTCCACTTTCCATAGTCCCAGCCAGTGGCATCTTCTGTCATCTCTGCACTCTGTTTTACTGTGTGTTTGATGCAGTCTGGTAGGTATCCAAAAGGCTCTAAATGTCACTTCAAAAACTGCAACTAACATGTGTTTATTACTAAAATGGCAGCAGATTTTTTAACTTTCAGTACGGATCGTGGGGGAATTTATGCACCAGAATGGATAGCAGCATCAGTAAAACTCTGTGATTTACCAGATGCAACTGTCATTACTTCTGTTGGCTCATCCTTCCTGAGAACAGGCTAAACACAGGCAAGGGCTGGGATTTCAAACAGCACTTTATTACAAGCTCTCTCCTGAGTGGGAGCTGAGCAAACTAGATTTACCCATGTTAAGCAATTCTAAACTACACATAGACAACTTAATCGGATGAAGTGACCTGTATTTCTCCAGGCAACACCTTGCCCTAAGGGCAAACACCTGACTTGATGGTGAGCAACTGCTTAGCAAAAGCTTCCAGACAGTGAAGCCCAGGATGTGACCAAAATGTCAAGCAAGCAGCATGTCCATATGTGTGCATGTGTGCATCTGTAAGTGCCAGAGCTTCCCAGATCTGAAGCTTTGGAATGAAAGGAACTGAAGTCGTTGGCTCCCAACAGAAGGACAAGGTAGAGAGCAAACCCTTCTGAGAAGGTGTTAGATGTAACCGGGCCACCCTTCAAGTGAGGGCAAGATTGAACCCTCCCGATCTTGGACTGTTAAAGGAATCCCAGGACAAATTCAGTGCCTTGGAGGTGAGGGCTGAGGCGTGGCAGGCTCCCCTCCTTGCCCTCGAAGGCCAAAGCGCTGTGTGCAATGCCTGCAGCGCCCTGCGAGTCAGACCCGCTACTGGCCTGTATGGACCCCGCCCCGAGCTCTGCAGGGCTGTACCTGCTCTGCAGAAGAGAGCAACATAAGCCTGGAACCAGCACTTTTTAGCCCACCCTTGGCCACCTCAAATGTCTTCCTGAGGCAGACCTGCAGGTCCCTGCAGCATCAGGCCTTGCTGCTTGGTGTCTTTGAAGCTGGTCTCCTGCATTGTCACTGCGTGGCTCCTGCCCTCACAGAGCACTGCCAGCCACCAGCGTGCACTCATTCAAGGGCTGACCAGGATCCTCAGCTTTCTGCCCCAACTTAGCCCTCACAAGGTGTCTTGGCTCCTCGAGCAAAGGCAGAAACCAGTAATTATCCAGTGGGCTTGTTAAAACAGCAAGTTGAAAAAAATCTCAGGAAAGTAAATAGCATCACCAGGCCCCATAGCAGCTGCCAGCTTTTACTGCTGTGCAATACAGCAGTGAGGAATCTGAGGAAGGAACAGCAGTTATCCCCCTCCCTTGCATGTCCTTCTCCTTGGCCTGTTGTCTGTAGTTGTCTCCTGCTGCTACCTTTATTATAATTTTTTATTGCAGCTCTCCACAGTGACTGCATGAGCCTTTCGTCAGCACATGAGTCAGAGCTGGGCTTGCTTTACAAAGTTTCTCCACTTCTTCTGTCTAGGATGGTTGTATTCATATCAGTAGTCTTCAGAAAATAGCTATGAAAGGCAGAAATCCAACCACAGTACTCAACAGATGAACAGAAGACACTGAAACCAACATGTAGCTTAACTGTTTTGGGGGTTGAGGGTACACTAGCAGGACCTGTAGGTCACCAAGTTCTGGGGCTGAATTAATGTCTCCTGTAAGCTCGGGGACAAGCCACTCATCCCCAGCTCTCCAGAGTGCTCTGTAACAAAACTAGTGCAATATTGAGTTGGTCAGAGTTAACACAGACAGTATCTTCAACCTATAGGGAGGGTGACATCACCAACTTGACACCATTTCTGCTCAAAAATCTTTCTGGAAAGTGAAGGTTTTCCTGTGCAGTGAATACAGAAGTCTGAATCGACTTGCATAGATCTGGATCTTATTCCAAATAAAGTCACAAATCAGCACAACAAAAACACCACTCCTCTTCACTGAAAAGGACGTCATAGGTCTCCAGCACTTCAGAAGCCCTAGGAATAGCACCAGTCACCCGCCTGGGCTACACGGACTCAGAATGCAGGCTGGACTAGGGGGGCCCACACAGACTTGGAAAGCAGGCTGGGACTGGGGGTTTCTTCAAGGAATGGGGAAAGAACAGAAGCCAGAAACAACACAGCTGGTGTGAAGCAGGAGCAGAGGAGAGCTGCTGATAGGATCAGGACAGAAATGCCTTTTGGGAAACACTTTCCAGGGGAAGATGCCCACTCGTCCCTTGTTACAACTCCAGTTTGAAGAAATGGGGTCTGTGCACATGCTGTAAAGTCATAAACTATGGGGAGTTTGGCTCCATGTCCCTGATTTGCACTGCAGAAAGGACAGAGTCCTTCAAGGCCTCCAAACCAGAGCCACTCCTTGGCAAAGGCCAAGGCTGAGAAGCTTCTTTCACAGTCCAGTCCTTGTGCACGCTGCCTTTGCAGAAACTGCCAGTGGTAATCAGTTGTGATGGATGAGTTTAATTAGCTCATCGTTATTAAAAGATAAGCAATTAGATTTTCTTCTTTAGCTGGCATGTTCTAGGGCATTTCCATAATAACCTACACCTTATCTAAAAGTCCTGGACATTAACAAGGGAAATAAGAAAAAAATGAGCTGAAAGATCTTATGAAAGCAAAAAGGAAGTCAAATGAACAGATGCCCACCTGCAGCCTAAAAATATTCTTTTAAGAGGAAATCACATTCCTAAGGACAGGACCAGTAGCTCAAACTAATGTTTCTGAAAATAATAAGCCTCGTATTTCTCTCTTCTACCTGAAAGCCTGTTAGAGGGATCTTTATATATGCACAAGATCATTCTAAA